ATTAGATACAACTGTGCAAAACATACTACTTCCATTCACTGTCCCAATATGACTTCCTGGAATGAAAATAATAATTTATGCCATGCTTGCTAATATTGTTTTTATCTAATGTGAGAGTGTCGTAGAAAACAATTATATTTTCAGTTCTTTGTAGAAATATTTTTTTAATGCTATAGGTCCCAATGGGTAAGGCTCAATGAGTAAGCTCATTGCCATAATTGAACATTTTGGGAAATTGGCAATTCAGATTAAACTTGTTAGCAAATGATCCCAAGGAAATAATATAGTAATATTCAGCATTTGTTGCAGTAATCATACATTTCAAGTATAAATTTTACACTGTAAAGCTGGGTAATGAAGTCTTTTTTTAATTATTCAAAAAGTGCCTATTTTATTTTCTTCAAGAAAAATAATTATATTTCAATAAGAACTAAAGACAGCAGATTGTATCTGCCTGTACGTGAAACAGTGCAAGATTCTCTGTGTTACATTAAGCCTTAAATATAAAGTGTGTAAACATGTTATCTTACTTGGGAAATGTGGTTGATTGACGATTCCATTCGCCTAAGCTGGGATGCCTGGATATCCAGCATTTGCAGAACATTATTTGCCAAAGTGTTGATCAGATAAGCTACACTAGCTAAGGATTGAGTTGTGTATGCTTTGGTTTCTTCTAGAGCCCGTTGTTTATCTGGTGACTAAAGAAAAAACAGTAATCAAAACTGTACATTTTTCATATACAATCTGCATCTACCAACTTTTAAGCCAATACACATATTATAATCATTTCTCACATCTTCTTTCTTAGGTCAAATTGTTCTTTCATGTTTTATTATATAAATTGCTGGCATCAGAGAAAAGATTAAAAAAACTGGCTTGAAGGAAAAACTGACACATAGAGATAGGAATTTCCTACCTCTAATTGATTTCAAACAATTTATGAACCATTTATCACACCTGGTAATTCTGAGCAATCAACAATTCATTAAAATGCAAAAAAAATGATCTATTCATTGGCAATTTAGTTCCAGGTATTGTTCATATTCAGAAGAAAAAAAGCATTTCTGTTTTTTCAGTTTCCAAATTATTTGATAATTTAAAATGCATTACAGGTAGTCCTCGACTTATGACCACAACTGGGAGCAGAATTTATCTGGTGACTTGTTAAACCTGACAGTTATTAAATGAGTTTCACATGATTTTACAATCTTTTTTATTATTTTTTGCAACCACATGGTCATTGAGTGAAAATGGTTGGCCGGGAAAGTTGCCAATGGTGATCACATGGTTCTGGGGCACTGCAACTATTGTAAATACATACCAGGTGTCAAATGCTGAAATTTTGATCAGGTGACTCTGGTGATGCTGCAATGATCATAAAGACAAGGATTGGTCTCTTCATAATTCCCTTTTTTCAGCGCCACTGTAACTTCAAACAGTTGTTAAATGAATGGTTATAAGTCAAGGATTTTCTGCGCTGTACAACTAGTCCTTGACTTATAGTTGTAAAATGAATTTATTCATTTAGTGACTGTTCAAAGTTACAACAGCAATGAAAAAAGTGATTTATGACTGTTTTTCATATGACCGTTGCAGCATCCCATGGACACACGATCAAAATTCATTTAACAACTNTCTACTTGCATTTTTACATGCTTTTGAACTGCTAGATTGGCAGAAGCTGGGACAAGTAACGGGTTCTCATTTTACCCACCTCGGAAGGATGGAAGGCTGAGTCAACCCTGAGCCGGTGAGATTTGAACAGCCGAACTGCAGAACTGCAGTCAGCTGAAGTAGCCTGCAGTGCTGCATTTAACCACTGCGCCACCTCGGCTCTTCATAATTCGGTGCATTGGAAATCCAATGAAAAGCTATGTTCCACAAGTTATAATTGGGACATACAGAAATCATGAATACATCTGTTTACTGCATTTATGATAGATATTGAAAAAACACCTAATTACACCTGAAAGTAATTTTGTTACTATTAAAAGATCAGGACTGTAGATCTATTGCCATTCAAATTCTTTTATTTGTTCAAAAGTATAATTGGTCCATCCTGTGTTTGTCTAATGTCATAGACATAAAATTGAGATAAACAACTCACAGAAGTATAGCAGTATTTTTCCTTCTTTAATAGAATGTTGGTTAATCATAAATACTATAGGTTTAGAAGAATCTCAAATTAATCCAGTAGACCTAAGGCTTAGAACCCCAATACATTCCCCCACACACTCAATGACTACTCTGATTATTATTTCACACAAACCAAAAAGTGGAGATTTTACCAAAAAAAGAAATTTGTGGATAAGATCACAAATAACTGTATTTATGTAAAATGAGTCAGAAAAGGTTGGACGTTTTTCTAATGAGTCACGTAAATGCTTATATTATTACAGCAAAATGTTTTTTGAAAGGAAACAGCTTATCCCTAAATCGTTCTAGCATTAAAATGCTACTCATTCTGGTTATGTTTTAATATTCTAAGATTAATAATTTCAATTAATGATACCTCTTAATCCCATTATTTGATCATAAGGCATCTGAAATTAGGACTGAATTTCAATAAAGTATAAATTATTACACAGGATATTTAAGTATTAAAGTATTTAGAATACAAAGGAGAGAATAATAACAACTATTTTTTCATACATTGGAATACAAAATTCTTTTTGATAAAGTCTGGTGACAGTGGACTTCCATCAAACTGCTTTATATATAATGTTCAAAAAAATCATATAAATACCTCCAAGTATTTATTTAAGCTTTAGTTTATTTACTGAGAATGTGTGATTGAGGCTACATCAGATTCTAATCATTATTTCAATTCAGATATGTGATTTATTTCAGCGTGAGTTTATTGGACAATGAAATTTAGTGAATAATTTTTTTTCTGATGCAGTTTGATTTGGTTTGAGTTTGGATCAGTTTGAAGAGTTCTATTTCTAATTCTATTTCTATCCTACTATCCTTCTATCCTTCTATTTCCTACCGAAAAGCCATCCAAAGTGACAAAATCAATAAGAAGCATTTGATGCAACACTTGGAAAAGGACTGTTGGTTTGATTCAGAAAAGCAATCTAATCTATTTGCCTATTGACAGCTGTACAGATTTTGTAGTACTGATGAAAATGAGTTTAAAACAAGACATATTCCTGTAAGATTTCACTCTTCTATTTGCCTGTTTCAGGCTCTCTGTGTCTTTGTTCAGATCTAACTGCCAAGATTAACCAATACCAAAATGAAGCCAAGGTTAACGTCAAGATTAACATCTTGATGCTCAAGGGTACTTTATATCTATTGTTTCATTTGACCTATTATAGTTTTATAAAACCAGAAAGACACCAAATGCTTAATTATGTCTGACGCATCGCTTTAATTGATGAAGTGATCCAGGATAGATTTGCCTTTATAATAGTTGTCTGATGATGTGAATTCTGAGGGATTTATTTTTCCATTTCTTGGTGTCTTAAACCTGGTATTTTCTTTTAGCACGTAGTATTTGCTTTTTTTTTTAAGCCTTGGCAAATTGGCTTTTTTTTTGTAGGTTTTATTTTGAGAAAAATAATCTTGTTTTTTTACCTTACCTCAGTTTAATCGCTTTTGTTCTGTTATTATTATATTAAGGCAGTAGGTTGGGAGGCCTATGGCAGCTGAGAGCAAGAGGTTGGACTAGAAGACCTCCAAGGTCCCTTCCAGCTCTATTCTGATTGATTGATTGAAATGGTCTAAGGTTTCATGCTTGAGCAGGAGGTTGGACTAGAAGACCTCCAAGGTCCCTTCCAGCTCTATTCTGATTGATTGATTGACTTTATGAGTAACAATTCTACAATCAAAATTCACCTCAGAATCAAATAAATATTATGACGTCACCATTTCTCTCCCTACTCACCTGTATGTGAGATTACCATACAAGAGCAAAAGAGATGGAGCTTGTATTNTTCTAAACGGCACTGTAGATTTGTGGAACCTCTTATATAGAAGAGGTTAGAACTGGCAGGAACCCACCCCTGATCTGCACACCGGGAAGATGATCTTCCAGTTTCCAGCACATGCATGCACACTGGCCAGCTGGTCTTCAGGTGTCCATGTGCACCAGAAACTGGAAGACCAGTTGGTCGCCCCACATGCCATAGGTTCGCCATCATGGATCTAGATCATCTAACCACTGAAGCGCAACATCGTTTATATGGTCTAAAGTCAGTTCTAGCTTTGAAATAATTAAATGTTCAAAGTATCTTTGAAAAACCTTCTTTTGAGGAAACTTTGAAGGATTTCAAGAAATGAAGAATGTTGATGTTACTGAGGGAAGTTCTCAAACTGTCACAAAGCTAAAGAAGAATTAGCACATGTTAATTTGAGAGTCATGGGTCACCATCATGTATCATGTCTTAGACCCTATGTAAAAAAAATGCAAACTGAAGAAAGGTCACATTCTTAGAGAGAAAGGCCATTATTTCCAGAAACCTGTAATCTTTAGTTTTTGTTTCATCTTCAATTTTTTTTGTATATGCAATATAGGCTATTGCCACAAGATGTCTCCATTTCTTCAGTCACTTCTTTTTGTCACCTACTGTTTGGATCCGAAGTTTTATTTGGTTCAGGGGATTTAAAACTGACTATAAAATACAAAAACTGTAGATGAAACATCCTAACACCTTTTTTGATTGGTTCATTTCGAAAACATACATTTCTCTTCCATAGCTTTCATGGCAATTATCTATTATCCCAGACCACACAATATCTTCTCCATTTGTGTTCTGATTGTTACAACAGATAGTAATTGCTATAAAGACTTATAAAATATCCCCATCAATGTGATTAATGTCAAGCAATAAAAATCTAGGGACCATCATTCCTACCTGATAGCTGTAACAGGTATTTTGCTTTTAGAAACTAAAAAGAATACCATCCTTTGGTAGCATGGGCACCAACATTGTCTGTGCAAGGTGAAGATAATAAACTAAAGCAGCAGCTGCCCCATTTTGGCAAAGACTGCCCTGTGGCATGATGAAAGTAAAGAGCAGGTTTAAGCTTTAGCATGAAAGATGGGATATATATTAAAAGATAAATAGATAAATAAGTCCATTAAGAGGTTATAGAGCTTTGCTTTGTAGTAACCTTTTCACCTGGTTTCTATATGAAGCAGAAGAAATAAATAACATGCAGAAGTCATCTTAGTTGGGATAAGGAAAGTTATCTGGAGATAACCAACTTGGGAAAAGAGAATAGAGTTTCTTTTATGCCTTTTTTCACTAAAAACAACTCAGGAAATTATTGCCGATAATTTTTGTGGTGGAAAAATATGATGCAAAGGGAATACACACTGCAAAAGCAACAATTAACATACACTAGGCCATGCCCACCATGGCCAAACCCATCCAGCAACTGGGCAGTGAACCCCTTGCTAAAACTTTTGAAGCCCAGCCCTGGTCTAAGGCTACTTTTAATGCCCACTGTTGGAGATCAACAAAAGGATCTGATTGGACACTTAAGGAAATGAATCTTATGGAACAAACTTTTTTATCAGAGCTTGCTTCAGAGTATGAATTAATCAGAAATGTCAATTGGTGACTGCTTCTGGGGAAGTACACCTATGTCTAATGCAGGGGTTAGTTGCTGCCGGCATTATTGCCAGTTTGGTGCGTGCGCAATTTTTATGGTCAACTGCTCTGTGCATATTCGCAGTTGACCATAA